TCGAAGATTTTTTTTCACCTGAGCTTGACAAACATGGATATCAGGCGCTTTACAAGAAAAGGACAACAGAGGTAACTTTGAGTTTCTTTTACTTGGTTAATTTGATTCGGTACCTTTTACTGTCCTGTTTGATACTGCTCCTTTGCTGTCACAGGTGTATTCTGGAAATCCTATGGCCATAGATGGCTGTGCTACTTTTTTCCGCAGAGACAAGTTTTCACATGTTAAAAAATACGAGGTACGATCACTTCTGGGTTTGTAGTTATTGGCTGGTTTGCACCAATCTAATTCTTGCACTTGTGTAGGTTGAGTTCAATAAGGCTGCACAGTCTTTAACAGATGCAATTATTCCTGCTGCTCAGAAAAGAGTGGCTTTAAGTCGATTGATTAAAGTAAGAGAAACAATGAAGCATTATTTTATATGTCCCGTCATTAGTTCTATTTATGAGTTTTAATAATGTCCCTTTTTCCATTTCCTTTGAAGGACAACATTGCACTAATTGCGGTGTTAGAAGCCAAATTTGGTAATCATGGAGCAGAAAATCCTGGTAAAAGACAGCTCCTTTGTGTGGTACGTGAATAAAATCTTCTTTCTTTTGGCGTGTACAAAGAGCTTGTAAGATGCGTAACATCCTCCTCATGTTGAAAATTGATGTTTACCATTTTTCTCTAGGTTTTGAGGCCTGCTTCTATCATATATTGCTCTTTTTCTTCATCATTTACACCTTTCCCTCACTCTTATTGGCACACTAATAGAATTTTGTTGTCATGAGGGTCTCTAGCCTCATTGTTTTTCTAAACGATTTCAATTTGCAGGCAAATACACATATAAATGTACATCAAGATCTAAAAGATGTTAAGCTATGGGAGGTCCGTATGACCACATTCGCTAGTTGTCTCTGTTATCTCAATTTTCCAGGATAACAATAACTATGATTTTTACAGGTTCATACACTCCTAAAAGGATTGGAGAAGATAGCTGTCAGTGCAGACATTCCTATGTTGGTCTGTGGAGATTTCAACTCGACCCCTGGGAGGTGTGTCTGCATTTGAAAATCATGGCAATATTTATCAGGGTTTTGTTTTTGCTTGTACTATGATTTTCTAAGCACACAATTGTACATTTCAGTTCTCCACATACGCTTCTTGCAATGGGCAAAGTTGATCAGCATCATCCAGATCTGGCAATAGATCCCCTTGGAATTTTACGCCCTCCAAGCAAGTTGAATCATCAGCTTCCTCTGGTCAGTTAATCTGCCATGGTTTTGATACCCTTTTTGCTCTGGTCATGCTCTGACCAATGGTGTTGCTTGTACATAGGTCAGTGCATACTCTGCATTTGCAAGAATGGTAGGTGTTGGCTATGATCTGGAGCACCAGCGGAGAAGGACAGATCCTGCAACAAATGAACCACTCTTCACAAATTGCATAAGAGATTTTACTGGAACTGTTGATTACATATTTTACACAGGTTGGTGCATGGAGCCTCACTCACTGCATGTGTAGCCTGTTATTCTATGTTTGCAACTTCTGTATCTCCATTTTCTTGAATAAGATTATAGGCAGTAATTGTGCTTATTCTTTTCATGATGGCCATGTTTGTTCTCTTTCAGCGGACTCATTGACCGTGGATTCATTATTGGAACTTTTGGATGAGGAAAGCTTAAGAAAAGACACAGCTCTTCCATCCCCTGAATGGTCATCAGATCACATAGCGCTCTTAGCAGAGTTCCGGTGCAAGTCTAGAATCAGACGGTGACGCATTAGGTATGTTACAAAGGAAATCGCTGCTGTCATATTGCTTCTTATTGGAACTGCATGTTGATTTTTTTTGTTGACATGAATGGTGTTGGATTTTACAATGATTATTTGTGTGTTGGGTTCCCCCCTCATTGCTCCCAATGGTGGGTGTTTAGTCAAGTTTCAATAGTATGTTTGCATATCTGCATTTATGTGACCAGTGCTTGCAATATTCTTTTGCTGCACCAGAAATCATTCCATTGTCGACAGAAGACACTATTTGTGTTGTAGGAGTTTGTCATGCTTTGTTCTTTTGGGTCATGCTTTTGCTTGGGGAAAAATAATGCTGCAAATCATGCCAAATTTGTAGAATGCTTCATATACAACACTCACCACACAACTCGCGACAACTGTGTTTAAGTCCTTGATTCTGCGGTGACAAATTAACACTGAAATCATCACACTTGTGAATCTTTCCAGGTCTTGTAGAAAAGGTTATTCTCATCATCCTTGGTGGCGGAACACTGTTCCATCTGGGAACTTGAGGCAGGGCGGGGACGCGGGCTCTCGGAGAAGCAAAGCAGCCTTAGGAAGCAGCCTCAGGAAGGGGAAGAGGCTTGTAACATTTGATTTTACCCTGTTACATTTGAGCTCAGTGATATTAAGCTGCCCCTGTGTACCATTACTTTCTATAGAAGAAAATACTTGAGAGAAATATTTAAAGGGTTATAAACCCTTTCTTTTTCTTTCATTCACTGTGGTTGCGTTCGATTTACCCTCTTGGCTGTACCCATTCTTGCTGCCTACAAGATGTAGGCGCCCTCATCTTCCCTAAATTCTGTACCAATGTAATGCCAGTTCCAGTTTTTGTTTTCCATGTTGCTGGCTGCTGGTTCTGGTGCTGGCACTGGCACTGGCACTCGTATCTTCCTGACCAGGCATTTTTATAACCGGTGGCAGGCAGGCAGCTCACAGGCAGGTGGAATGCCCAGGCAAATTGCTCAGGGTTGCCTCCAAAGTCCAAACATGCCCTCATTGCCGTTAGATGTGTGATGCCTGTTTGTTGTTTACTTGAATGGAATCTGGCCGTACGGCTGTTGGCTCCGTGACACCTCTTGTTACGAGTTGGTCACTGGTCAGAACCTGTCCTCTGCCCAAGTGCCGATGCTCGAGCGTACGCACGTACAGCTCGGCTCCTTGGTTTCTTCGACCAAACTGGCACCAAACACGTTGGAGATTAACGCAAAGTTCAGATGTCGATGTCGGACGTGCTGGTAACCTCTACTAAACGGCACGATAAATCAGAAGAGGCATCTTGACCTGAGCCTTCGTAGCTGCAGCCTGAAGGCACGTCAAAAGTCAAACATGTGGCGCGTCAGATAATTTCCAGACGTTTGACCGCATGCAAGTCTCTCGGTGCCACTGACGCCGTGGGACCCAGCTTGCGTGGACCATGACAACGTAACCGTCGGCGCCGCCGGTTCTTTGGTTACCAATGCCTAAAGTACTCGGGCAAGTTTTGCTTTTTTCCCCTTTTTGCAGGAGTTCATTTGAATACGTGGTTCAACTCCAACTTGTACCTAGTAGGGAGAAAAATCTCCAAAAAAAAAAAAAAAAAACAAGATGGCCTCAAGAATGGCAAATCATATGGAGGCGCCTTGTCACTCCTCACTTGGCGGGATCAAATTGCTTTTGCCCGTTCCTCTTATCAGCAAGCCCATCCGAAGCTAGACATAGCACTATCAGAAAATTAAATAATTATTTAGTTTTTCTGGTAACATAATGATCAGCTTAACAGTTCGTTAACTATTTAGCTTTTTTGGTAACACAATGGCAAGCTTTCATTGACAATTCCTTCTATACAACATATATTTATGTCCAAAATAAAACATAGTATACTATACTTCCAACGGACAAGTCTCAATGGAAAATTAATAGAGCTATATGCACATGATAGAATCATGTCACATAATAGTATAAAGCTAATGCTAAAAAAACAGTATAAAACTCTATCACGACACATAGAGCAAACATAAATGACATATTGATAAAGTACTAGATAATGTTGCATCTATCCGATTAAGGAAGCAATTACCGCAGTTAACAAAAGAAATAATACGTACCCAAATACAAATGGCTCATTAACATCTTACAAATACTATATCACTAATGCAAGGAACAGCGACTACAAGCAACGAGGAGCACACAATGGCAGATCGGATGGCGGGGAGAATTCAGGGCGACGTGGCGGCCGCTTAGTTTTAAATTCATTCATTATTAGGAATGTACACAACGAAACTAAGCTAAACCAATAACACACTTCGCTTATGCCAATAGTGGCTAATTAAATAAATACACGATTCTACAAGAACACAAAGCGACCATGGGGTTTAATTAATATAATTATATAATCATGCCTGGGGTAAATGTCAAATTAATTTGCTTGAGATATATTACCTCTATCCCAAAACAAATGATGAAAAATCTAATTTTGTCCTAAATCAAACTATTAAGTTTGACTAAGTTTTATAAAAAATATCAATAGCTATTATAGCAAGTAAGTAAGATCAAATTCATTATAGAATATATTTTCGGTTACAAATGTTGATAACTGTTTTATATAAATTTAGTTAAATTTAAGATTGTTTGACTTCTGTCAAAACTATAATTATATTCTTTTTTGACGCAAAAAGTTATACAAGCGAGTATATTTTCAAAAACTATTGATTCCAGTGTCGGTGTCAAGCAAAAGAAAGAATACTCATATGGAAATGGAGAGAAGTAAAAGGTAGAGAAGATTCAACTAACTTTCGAAACGCAGTATTCTCTGGGGAAAAGGGAAATCTTTCAAAAACGCAGTCCTGAAACCCGTATTTTGAGGTTAGGCCAGGCAGGGTGCATCTCACAAAAATCATCCACTTCCTCACCTCCTCTGGGGGCGTTTCTTCCAACGTCTCCTCCCCCGGCGAAGGAAGGAAAGGAGAGCCACCACGCCCACGCGAAAGAAAGCTGACGCCCACGCGCCCAGGAGCACCACCACCATCCGCGACCGACGCGTGATCAGATTCGAGCACCAATCCCCTCCTCCTCCACAGCCCCCGCGCTAAAATCTACACAAAGCCTCGCGAATCCGGCCCGATTCGCGCTCCCGATCTCGCGCTCGATCCCAGCCCACCGGGAGGTCGGTCCTCCAGCCTCCCGCCAGATCTCAGCGTCGCTCGTGCGGTTTCGATTTGGTGGTGGAAGGGAGAAGAGGCGGGATGAGCGCGCGGATAAAGGAGATGGTGCGTGTGGCCACAGCGCGGCTGGGCGGTGAGCAGGCGGGGGGTGGTGGGGCTTCCTCCTCCTCGGGCTTCACGCGCCGGGAGTCCACGGCGCGGCTCGGCGGCGGGGGCACCAGCCTCCGGAGGCAGCCGCAGCCGATGGCGCCCTCCGTGCGCACCGTCTACTGCAACGACCGCGAGGCCAACGCCCCTGTCGGGTACAAGGTACGCCGCGCTCCCCGCCGGTTGTATCTCGGCGATGTCTCGTATCGTATGGTTGTGTTCGAGCTGGATCGTCTGGCGCGATAAGCTAGCTGGCTCGTCCTTCGCCCTGGGCGTTTAGGATTTCGCTTCACGAGGATTGTGTTGCTGCTCAGCTGCGAGTGCCCTGGGTTGGATTGGAATTTTGCCTGCAGCTTATATACAGTTGGTTTTGGGAGATGGGAATGACAGATGTTTGATATGTTATTGCTGTAAGTGGTACCGTGCTATATTGCCAGGGACAGGTGCAGTTTAGACCTCCACAGGATTGCCTGAAGACTCTTCATGCTTTAATTGCATCTTGGGGTTCATACTATGGCCTGGTAACTGTGGTTTAATGTCAGTGGAACGCAAACACATGAGGTTGTTCTGAAACTTGTTTGATCTCACCCCTTTGCCATTGTGGTTTGTATTTGAATGGGTCCTATTGGTAGTATTTTCCCCTTCTCTTCCTAGTTCCTATACAAATGTTGCAGCTGTAGTATATTTAAGTGTATTTGCAAGAGCTTTGGTGCATCACACTAATGACAGCCCCCCTTCAATTTTTGGTTTGTATCAGTTATTGATTATAGAGTTATTCGAAGCTGACACCTAAACATCAAACTTTGTTTTGCCCATGTTGGCACTAAACTTTACTCCCTCCATTCCAAATTGTAAGACGTTTTGTCTTTTCTAGATACACAGTCTAGATACATAGTAAAATCAACATATCTAGAAAAGCCAAAATGTCTTATAATTTGGAATGGAGGGAATAGTTTGTTTGACTATGACGATTCGGCTGTTTTTTTTCCTTTTATGATATGATGCAATCTCCACGAAAGCGAGTAAATTGGCAGGATATTACTTTTCCTTTTCACTGTTGCCATCTGATGTTAATTCCGCGTTTAAAATTCTTTTGTATGCTTTATTCGTATGTCTCAGGGAAATTCTGTGTCGACTACAAAGTACAATATCCTGACTTTCCTACCTAAAGGATTATTTGAGCAGGTATTAATACATTATTTTTGTTCATCACGCATGTTATCAATCAAGGAAGTTCTTTAGATTCAGCATCTTTTATAGCAATTTTCCCTTCATTTTTAATGGAAAGGATTATTTGTGTCTTATCAAATTTTCATATGTGCAATCTATTGAATTTGCTTTGCTCCCCTTTTCTGTTCCCCAAATACTAATTTGTTTTGACAAGAAATGTGGACTTATACTTAATTGAATGAAACACCTATGTTCATGTGCCTTTTCTGCAAACTGATCTCCTAGAATTGTTCCTTTCCTGATCATGGTATCTCTTAATTGGCTTAATAACGGATGAATGATATGTCTGCTGGGTTTTCAAATGCCACAGTGTATTTAAAATGTGATTCTGTTGTCTTTGCATATTATGCATGCGCTGTTAAAATTGTACTATCTTGGTTTATGTTTTTTTTTGAAAACACTATCTTGGTTTATGTTAGTGCACGTTGTGCTTTCAGCAGTTTACGCTTCATTTTGTGCGACTTCTCATATCTGGTAGCTTCTTTCTAGTTCACAGCTTTGGTAGATAAGGGGAAACAAACTTCATATCATAGACAGTTGTCATCACTGACTCAAATATGAGTGTTATCATTCATGTTTCCCGTGCCCAACCAATCACTCACTAATACAACAACAACACAACAAAGCCTTTAAGTCCCAAACAAGTTGGGGTAGGCTAGAGTTGAAACCCAGCAGAAGCAATCAAGGTTCAGGCACATGAATAGCTATTTTCCAAGCACTCCTATCTAAGGCTAAGTCTTTGGGTATATTCCATCCTTTCAAGTCTTCTTTTATTGCCTCTACCCAAGTCAACTTCGGTCTTCCTCTGCCTCTCTTCACGTTACTATCCTGGCTTAGGATTCCACTACGCACCGGTGCCTCTGGAGGTCTCCGTTGGACATGTCCAAACCATCTCAACCGGTGTTGGACAAGTTTTTCTTCAATTGGTGCTACCCCTAATCTATCACGTATATCATCGTTCCGAACTCGATCCCTTCTTGTATGACCGCAAATCCAACGCAACATACGCATTTCCGCGACACTTATCTGTTGAACATGTCGTCTTTTCGTAGGCCAACATTCTGCACCATACAACATAGCAGGTCTAATCGCCGTCCTATAAAACTTGCCTTTTAGCTTCTGTGGTACCCTTTTGTCACATAGGACACCAGATGCTTGGCGCCACTTCATCCACCCTGCTTTGATTCTATGGCTAACATCTTCATCAATAACCAATCACTCACTAATGCAACATAAATTTGAATGTTTTATCATCACCAAATCATGCAACAGTATTGGACCAGAAGAACCTTTTGTAATTCATTTGTCTTTTGCTTTGACAGTTCAGGCGTGTTGCAAATCTTTACTTTCTCATGATCTCAATCTTGTCGACTACACCTATTAGGTCTCTCTCTCACTCTCATGTGCATCTTCCTAGTTTTGAGTTAACTTGTCATTCTTTGCTTTTTGCCAGCCTTAATTTTAACTTTGCACTTGTGCTTACAGTCCAGTTCATCCTGTCACTAATGTTGTTCCCCTAAGTATTGTGCTTCTGGTGTCTCTCATCAAGGAAGCTTTTGAGGATTGGGTTAGTATTGCTATTCACAATTTTGTTCTGCCATGCTTAAGTTAAGAGACCTGATGTTGCTCCTTTTCCTTTTCTGCTCTTTGTACAGAAGCGTTTCCAGAATGATATGTCAATTAACAACGCACATGTCGATGTATTGCAAGGTAAATGTTGGGAAAGTACTCCATGGAAACGACTGCAGGTTGGAGATATTGTGAGGGTAATGTCTTAAATGCCTATTTAGTATCTTGTGAGTTAATCAACATATTCCATACTGAAAGTAATAGTCCTGATCTGTTTGTTGTGTAATGTTGAGGTTTAATGGCATAAAAAACTAATTGTGATGACACTTCTTTAGAGCAGATCAAGCAAGATGGTTATTTCCCTGCTGACTTGCTCTTCCTATCAAGTACAAACCTTGATGGTGTCTGCTACATAGAGGTCCATATTCATTTATACTTTTTATTCATTTATTGGCTCAATTTGAAACTGAAGCCCTAATAAATATGCTTTGGGGAAAATATTCATTGATTTTGGATGAAAAAATAATTGCAGACAGCAAATCTTGATGGGGAAACAAATCTGAAAATAAGGAAGGCTTTGGAGAAGACTTGGGACTATGTACTTCCTGAAAAGGCTTCTGAGTTCAAAGGTTTTGTGCCTCTTATTTTCTGGTTAAGGAAGCTGTCTTTTTTGCTTAACTCCACATTGGTTTGTCCTGTTTTATGTGCCTTGGAATTCATCATATTTAACTTAGATAAACGGCTTACAGGTGAAGTGCAGTGTGAACAACCAAACAATTCCCTTTACACGTTTACTGGCAATCTTATCATGGACAAGCAGACTATACCTCTCTCACCGAACCAGTTACTCCTAAGGGTAAGATTTGTTTTCCAATCTTTTTCTTTCTTCTATGATTAGCCTTATTGTTTTTTCCTTGTCCCAAGACAAGCAACATCTTTGGAGTTCCCTAGATTGGCCACATGTCAGTGTCTGCTCTATATCCTTCATGAAATGCTTCTAACAATGATTTGTAGAACTGGGATAGCTTCTGTAGATTAGCCTTTCCTCACTTTTAACAATTTTATACCTTTTTCCTAGTTTTATAGATGGCCAAACAGGTGGCATGGCACAACCTGGCCTGGCCCTGCTTAGGCATGGCATGGCAAGGCATGATTAGCTAGCCATGCCATGCCATGCCAGCACACGAGCTCCGCCGGCGGCCCAGGCATGGCACGGCAGCGGCTTAGTCGTGCCGTGCTGGCCCGACGAGCCTGGTGAACTCCCAAACACAAATCTATCAGAAGTTAAGAGACCGGAGATTAACAATGGCAGCAACATCTTTACATCCAATCATCCATACGGGCACAAATCCATATATACACAAATCAATCCAAGTCCATCTACTGAGCCAGATCCGTGCCGGCGGTGGAGTATTTGAGTGCTGCATGAGGTGGCCGTCACAACTCACCTGGTCAACACTGGCAGTAGATGAGAAAGGACAGAGGAGAGCAGCGCTGACCACCTCGTCTGAGTTTGGCTGTTACTCCTACACAAACAGTGGACGGGTGGAGAAGGGAGGGGAAGGGAGCGGCGCTGGTCTTGAAGGGGAGAACCAGAGAAGGGAGGGGAGGGGAGCAGCACTGGCGTTGCTGCGTTGGAGGGGAGAGGAGAGTATGGGAGGGGTGGTGGAGGGGAGGGCTGGAGTGGAGTGCGACATGGCAGGAAAGGAGAGTGCAGGCATGTGACTGCACCGCAGGAGAGTGTGGTGAGTGGCTAGGGTTTGGGGTGCAATTTATATGTGGGGCGGGGATGGTGATGGCTTAGGATGGCCCGTTAATCGGGCCGCCTACTAATCATGCCATGCTTGGGCTGGCACTATGGGCTGATGGTGTGGCCCAGGCACGACACTAGCCATTTGTCCGTGCTCACACGGGCATGGATGGCACTGGGCCGTGCCGTGCTTAATCAGGCCATTCCCCGTGCTGCCTGTTAGATCTGCCCCCTCTTGGCGTATTACCTAGTTTTGCTTGAATGATGAATAGTTGATGGTGGGGAAGGTATTTGTAAGGTGCATGATAAAAGATTTGTACCATGCTTTATGTTGAAAATATATACTATACTAAAAACCAATTCTGAAAGCTATATCTCTTAAAATTGAAAAATAGTGACCTTACTTATAACCATAGTTTGTGGGGATGGTAAAGCATCTCCTCTGGTCTTTGTTAGAGGGTGCTTAGGTTTAGTTTATTTTCCGTGATAAGAGAAGGTACCTATACCTGATATTTGGTGCCTTTGTCTAAGAGAACATCCTTTTAGTTCTTCAGTGAAATTTGAGTTCATCTTTGAACCCATGACAAGCTACATGCATTTGGATATTTCAAGTCCAGGATAGATCTGTGGTTAAGAGTCACGCTCTCCTTTCTAGTCACCATCCTGCAATACAACATTTGAAATGCTTAAAATATTCGTTTTTCTGTTTCTATCCTTTGCTTCATCAGATTGATTTGTGCCTTGTGTGGTTGTGCCCCCTCAGTCTACTCTTTTCATGCACCAGAGAACTTTAAATTCGCTCTGTGCTTGAGTGAGCATTGACTTATCATTGCCTTCTTGCTACAGGGATGCAGCCTTCGTAATACAGAATACATTGTTGGCATTGTCATATTCACTGGGCACGAGACAAAAGTATGGGCATCTTTCTATTCCCTATCTATTCGATGTGGAAATTTGAAGTTTTGATTTTCTTCAAGTTTCGAAATTTACTCCTGTAGAAAACTGTTGCAGGTTATGATGAATTCCATGAATGTTCCCTCCAAAAGAAGTACATTGGAAAAAAAGCTAGACAAGCTTATCCTTGCTCTTTTTGCAACCCTCTTCATAATGTGTGTTATTGGTGCCATTGGAAGGTCAGTTCTTTTACAATCTGTCTTTATTTAACTTACCTACTTTATATGTCAAAACAAATGTCTGCTTCATTTATGAATGTCAATGTCATTTATTGTCCTAGAATATGTGTAGTCAAACTATTTTGACTTTTAAGAACATAAACTGACGATTAGATTTATCACAAACAATATTTTCACATTTTTTAAGTTCTTAAACTTGACAAAAATATTACAGTAAATTGGCAACCGAGGCAGATAGAGATGGGAGGGACCATAATCACAAAAAATCTGGGTCGGCAGGTCTACAATCGACACTAGTGTAGGCATCTCTTTGGAACTTTGAATTCCGAATCCGGTTTGTGACCCCAAGATATCCAGATCGATGACGCTGGAACAAAAAGAAATATAAGGGAAAATAATAAAAGAAAAGAAAATAGATGGGCTGCCAATTCTTGACCTATTGTACCCTCCACGAACTCATCTAGGCACGCTATGCACAAGCAACAGCCGTTTCTTGCCCCTTTGGTCTCTCTCCTCCCACGGTACACTGTCACCAGAAGCCACCACTACTATGCTCAAACCTTTGTTGCAGTGCCTACTCTGTTGCCCCCGAAGAGCTGGGCCACCTTGGGCCAGCTCTGCTGTAAGTTCCCTCTTTCCTCCCTTCAGCCCTTCTCTCACATGGGAGTTTTGATTTGGAGCTTGTGACCCTGCAGCAACGGGACAGCGGCCCAGTTTGATCCCGACTCTCAAATTGGGACGATGATCCAGGGTTGTGGAATGTGGCATCATCCCTGTTGGGACTTGGGAGAGACATAGACATGCTCATAGGCTAGCTGTTAAATTTAAATTCCTTTGTAACATCAAAATGAAATTATTTTATCTAATAAAAGCATTATGCAGTTATAGTTGTCCTTACATAGAATTTGCTCTTGGTTATTAAAGCTATATCTGTACTAGTACTGATGGACCTATTTTCCTTTTTTTTCAACAGTGGTGTGTTTATTAATGAAAAATACTTTTATCTTGGATTGCGTGGGCATGTTGAGGACCAGTTCAATCCCAAAAACAGATTTGTGGTATATACTGTTTTAGACAATTTTAGTTGTATCTAAATTCATACATGTGGCTCTAAAACACTTTCTTCCACAGGTGACCATTTTAACCATGTTTACTCTAATAACTCTATACTCAACAATCATCCCCATTTCGCTTTATGTGTCCATTGAGGTATTTTGTTCAACTTGTTATATATTTAGAATGACCTAACCTATGCTTGGACTATCAGAGCTTATGTTTCCTTTGGCTGCCAGATGATCAAATTCATACAGTGCACACAATTCATTAATAACGATCTTCATATGTACCATGCTGAGAGTAACACCCCTGCTTTGGCACGGACTTCTAATCTTAATGAGGAGCTTGGACAGGTAATCTCTTCCTTTTGCCCCTTATCCTGTTTTCAATTTGAAGAAAACTCCTATTTGGTCACTCAATTGGGACTATCTGATCAATGCTATGTGGTTGTGTTTGTATTGGCATAGATTACATCTTTCTAGCATGATTCATTCCACAAGTTAGATAATTTGCACCATTTGTGGAGAAGGGAGGGGTTTGGGGGTGGGGGAGGAGTGTTGTTGCCCACTGAGCATAAATATGGAAATGTCTTTTGGCTTCTTTCCATCCATATTTTTTTTGGAAACAATGGCAGGAGCTCTAACGCTCAATTAAGACGAAAGAATTTATGTACAAGAAAGGTTAGCCAAACGAGATGCCAAAAGGAGGCATCCGAGGGGCTAACCAACGACACACTGCCATGGGTCATTGTTGCCTAGCATGGAAGCAAAGCTGCCAGCAGCTCCAACTTCCCATGGCAGGCCACCCACGAGCCACCAGTCGACGGGTCACCGCCGCCATGGCCATCGAGGAAGGGGGCAGGCGGAGGAGAAGAAGAAAGAAGCCCTGTGCCCCTGCACTGCCCCTGCACCGGCACTGACTGGCGCCGCCCGCACCGGCAGTCTCCGGTTGGATCCGCACGGGCGGCAGCGGTCCTAGCCGCGGGAGGGCCGTGGGAGCCGCCGCTAGAATGCCCGGGCAGCGCGCCCCCTCGGGATCCCTTTGCTGTGCGCCACTCCCGCCGCCCTAGCCGCAGCGCCGCCCCAGCCGCCGAGCGACGCGCCTCCTCCGGCAGCCTCCGTGCGCCACTCCCGCCGCGCCTAGCCACGGTGCCATCCCGGCCGCCGAGTTCCGTCCCCGCACGGAGGTGCTCGCAACCCTCCTGGGCAAGAACCTCGCCGCTGTCGTCCTAGGGAGCTGCACGGGCCTCCCGGCAGTTCCCTCCAGCGGCGGCAAGGGAAGGGGAGGTGGTGGTTGACGGTGGCGGCGGCTAGGGTTTGCTCGCCGCCCGAGCTGCCTGTGTGGGTGGGCGACGCGGGGGCACTCCTCTTTCCGTCTATATCATGGGGATATTCCATATAATCTGTACATTTTAACTGAATGCTTGGGATCTTTGGTGTCAGATTTTGACGATTGTAGATATGAGATATAAACATTTTGTACATTTCGCCTTACTTTAGATCTAACTCATGAAGGGCGGGCCTGGTGCAAGCGGTAGAGTCTTATCGCCTGTGACCGGAAGGTCCCGGATTCGAGTTGCGGTCTCCTCGCATTGCACAGGCGAGTGTAAGGCTTGCCACTAACACCCTTCCCCAGACCCCGCACAGAGCAGGAGCTCTCTGCACTGGGTACGCCCTTTTTTAGATCTAACTCATCATCTTATGGTTCAGGTTGAATATATATTTTCTGACAAAACTGGAACGCTTACAAGAAACCTGATGGAATTCTTTAAATGCTCGATTGGTGGAGAAATGTATGGAACTGGCATCACAGAGATTGAGAAAGGAGGAGCAGAGCGGGCTGGAATTAAAATCGATGACGATGAGGTGCAATGTTTATTGTTGTTGAAGTCAATAAATTGTATCATTATGTCTGCAAATCTAACAATGTTTACATTTCTTTATTTACTTTCATAGGGTAAAAGGTCTGCCAATGCGGTCCATGAAAAAGGATTCAATTTTGATGATGCTAGAATCATGCGCGGTGCGTGGAGAAATGAACCTAATCCTGAGGCTTTCAAGGTAGGTGTTTGGAGATTTTTTTAAAGTAAGTTTGGAGTCTTCTGCATGAAAAGTCATTTTTATTCGTCTCTTGTTAACTCAGATACGATGATATAAAATTCTAGTTTGTTCTGAAAACCAACCTTTTGTTTTTCTGATGTTATTTTTAGGAATTCTTTAGATGCCTTGCAATCTGTCATACAGTTCTTCCAGAGGGTGAGGAGACTCCGGAAAAGATAAGTTACCAGGCTGCCTCACCTGATGAGGCTGCACTTGTGGCTGCTGCTAAGAATTTTGGCTTCTTCTTTTATAGGTAATTATATTCCTGCAAATAGTCTTAGATTCCTCAGACATTTCCATTCTTCTATGTAATATCCAAACAGTCAACATTTTCTGAAAAAAACCCTCACTGTCTTAAATGCACTGCACATGAAAATACCCATGATTTGCTCATATGGCTATCTAATTGGGAAAATTGGTTCCACATCAGCACCATTGTGAACAAAGCTTTAGTCCCAAACAAGTTGGCGTATGCGTACGCTAGTATCATGTATATGAGCCTGTGGAGTGTGCTACCAAACTGGACAGGTGTAAGCCATTGCAGGGGTACGCAATAAGAGAAACTGAACAGCCGCTGGTCAGAGGCATCAAAGAGCAGAATGGAAAGCTTCAGAGTCACCTTCTTCGGTTCTCCTTTGTGCTGCCTCTCAACCCCAATTCTGATCTCTGATCTGATTCTACTGCCTGTTCTCACCTTCTCCGGTTCTCCTTTGTGCTGCCTCTCACCCCCAGTTCTGATCTGTGATCTGATTCTACTGCCTGTTCTCTTTTTTCTCAAACAAGCAGGAGAGCTGCATATCTTTGTATTAAGAGAGAAAAAAGAGGGGAAAGAATCCCATACAAGACAACCCTCTTGACCCAGCTAGGAGATAAGAGAAGGTTGCAAACATTACACCTCAAAAACCACATGTGCCCTGAACACGACCAAATAGTAACTTCTGGAGCTTTCAGGCTCAAGCCAAACACCACAGTCTCATCTCTTTGAAGGAGTGCTAGGCTGTCTTCAGGAAGGGAGAAGCTCCATCAATATCACAACTGTTCCTGTGGTTCCACAGTATCCCAGTGCCAAGAAGATAGTACTGTTACATCCTTATCTTTTGGCCTTTCCAATCTTTCTACTTGCTTTTCTCACTAGTCTGCAAGCACTTGTCATGTCGACGAGGCACTGATGCACTGTACGCTCCAGCCCAAGAAGGCTAAACAGATTGAGTCAGAACTGACGAGCAAAAGCAATTTGTGAGGATGTGCTCCACTGTCTCCAATTATCAGGATGTGCAGTCCCCCTTTTTGCTAAATGATCAGCCGTCAAACACTTGTTTCTAATAGCAAGCCATAGAAAACCTTGCATTTGGAAGGCGCCCATGATTGCCTTGCTGTAAAGTCAACCAGTAAGCGGAGGGAATTGCCTTGCTGTAAAGTCAACAAGGCTGCAATAATATCAGGTTTAATTACTGAGCAGCAACCCTTGTAAAATCTGCCAGTATACCTGTCAGGCCCAGGACCTTGATCAGATGGTAAACTGCATATAGTCTCCCATACCCCATCTTCACTGTAAGGTGCATCTAAAACTGGCAGGTCCTATCCTTCTGGATGAAAATACTGAAGGTTCACAGTTGTATTCCTAGGCAAGTGTACATGACGGCTAGAGATAAAACCCAACAATAGCCTCACGAACAAAAAAAAAAGTAATAATATAACAATGGTATGTTGTAGTGGCATTAGAAATTTGGAGTAAGATACTTGTACCACTTCCCCATTGTGAACATTTCCCATAACTAGGTCTATTTATATCCTTCAGGTTTATGTTTCTACTGGAGTTGTTCCTTTATTTCTGTAGTTGCAAAAAGAATAACCAATTTTCAGATATAAGTGAATGGTATTGTTTTGAGGGTCACATTGTGCTTGTTATGTAGGCGTACACCCACAACAGTTATGGTTCGTGAGTCACATGTTGAAAGGATGGGGAGTATACAAGATGTTCCATATGAAATTCTGAATGTTCTGGAATTCAACAGGTGAGTTCATTTGTTGTCTTTGTAGTGTAAATTCAATGAGATGAAATTATTGTTTTGTTTATATTTTATTATTGTACTAACAGTACGAGAAAGCGACAATCGGTGGTTTGTCGTTTCCCAAATGGAAGATTAGTTCTCTATTGCAAGGTAATACAAGGAAGACGACCTTGGTTTAACTTCTTTTATGTTCGTCGCACTAGCTGACAATCTTTGTGTAAATAGGGTGCTGATAATGTCGTATATGAACGATTGGCTGATGGAAATCATGATATGAAAAAGATCAGCAGAGAGCATCTAGAGCAATTTGGTTCTGCTGGCTTGCGTACACTTTGTCTTGCCTATCGGGATCTTAGCAGGGAGCAATACGAAAGCTGGAACGAGAAGTTTGTACAAGCAAAGTCATCTTTACGAGATCGTGATAAGAAGCTCGATGAGGTTAATGGGTTGCCATCTTTTGGTTATTACTATGACGTTTGACATGAATTCTGACAATGTATTTGCTTGAACCGTTGTCCTTTCTGTTAGAACTTATGCTACTGGATATAATTTGTTTAGTACCACGATCTTCACTTGCTTGGATGGTTTCTTATTTAAGCGGGTGCATCTCATGCATTGTTAGAAGGAAGCATGACTCAGTAGCATGAAACATTTCGAGCTCTAGACATTGTTATTAATTTTTTCCCTGAAAAGTTTATTTGTGACATTCATTAGCGCTTTGTTATTGTGCACTCTGTAACATATTAGAGTTTTCTTACTTACTTTGTATATTTAATGAGATTTATCCGGGCATTCCTTTTATCTCAAAGCTACATGGGACTTGCTGCCTATGAAAGCAGCCATGTGCAATTATTGCAGTTTTGTCTAGTTTGTTGTCATTTGCTGCAATACCAATGCTAAGTGGTTTGAACATCCTGTAATGGTGACCCCAATTAGATATTAAAGAATATTTTAAAATAAACCACAGTAGTTATATCAAAATCATTTTGGTGAACACGTTACTGTTATGGGAGTGATGATATCTGAGTGTTAATCTGTTCATTTCCTATTTTAGAATATACCTTTTTCATTGGTTTATATGTGAATTTTATCATGCAAATCACTGACTATCTGCATTCTATAAAGAATAGGTGATCCTTCAAGTTGAAGCTAAATTATTCTGCTATTGCTGGCAACATTGTGATTGAATTTTCCTTCTTTACCCTGTAGGTGGCTGAATTGATTGAAAAAGACCTTGTATTAGTTGGGTGCACAGCTATAGAGGACAAACTGCAAGAAGGGGTGCCAACCTGCATTGAAACTCTCTCTGCAGCTGGCATAAAAATTTGGGTGTTAACTGGAGATAAGATGGAAACAGCGATTAACATTGCATATGGTGAAGCTTCCATCTATCTTGATTAGTTTGTGTTGCTTGTTCTTCTCCTTAAACTATTATTTCTGTCAGTTTTGGATTCTGGGTGTTCTTTTCCTGATCTCTCTTTCATCTAACATACGCAGCATGCAGCTTGGTAAACAATGACACCAAACAGTTCATCATTAGTTCAGAGACAGACGCTATTAGGGAGGCTGAAGACCGGGTAAGCTGCACATACTGCACTTTGGACAACATATATAATGCTTTTAGCTGGTTTATTTCTATTGCTAAAGGTTTCTCCTGTAAAATTTAAAATTAAAATAATGGGATAAATTAACTGCAAAAAGTTCTTGCAAAGTAGGACTAATAAGTTGTTGAGTTCATTTGGTACTTGACTACTTGTGCTGCTGTGGTATTATGCATTTATGGGTGTCTGTTCATATGGGATATTAACCATGATTTTGACTCGTGTTTCTGGAAATTTTAATTTTAAGGCCTCCCAGTAATGCTCTTTTTTTGTGGAATACATATAAAAAAGTAGTCTTCTTTATTTAGTTGATATGGACAGTGGTGTTTATTGCTTTAGTGCTTTGGCCTCTCTATTTCTTTGACGTTGTTTTCTTTTACATTTCTTATTATACTTATTTTCTTACATAATCAGTTGTATGATTGTTTCCTGTTAGTATGATCAACTTGTGACCAGTAGTTTGTACTTTTGGGGGATATTATGAGCTTGTTTTGGGGGAAATGCATTATATTTTTCTGCTACCATCGGTTTTTTTATATGGTAGCATGCATTATATTTTCATAGTTATGTGTGGACTGTTCTTCCTTAGTGCTTGGGTTGATTTCTCCCAAGTTTTTGTTGGTGCTCTTTGTCGCTCTGCCTGTACTAGACTAGTTTATTTGGCCTTGGGTCTCAGTCACAGGTCATGTTAGTTGTGGAAGGCTAGTTGCTCTGGTCTAGTGTTCCCTTGGGGAGGGGGATTCTTCCCCCTCCTTTGTACTTTATTTTTTTGCTCTCAATGAAATGATGCACAACTCTTGTGTGTTCGAGAAAAAAAAAGCCTCATTATATTTTCATAGTTGTGTGTGGATTGTTCTTCCTTAATGCTTAAGCCTCACTATATTGTTGATGGTTATCTTGGACGTATCTTGTGCCTACATTTTTCTTATTTGTTTGTACTTGGTTCAAGAATAACCAGCTATATTATTGCAGCCTGGTGTAAACTGACTTACCACCAGTAGCATATACTTTTTTGCATACCTACTCCTACACGTGCCATACATAACTTGTCCTTTCAGGGTGACCCTGTGGAAATTGCACGTGTTATTAAAGATTCAGTAAAACAGAGTCTGAAAAGCTTTCACGAGGAAGCCCAACATTCTTTAACTAGCACCCCTGAAAGGAAGTTGGCTCTCATTATTGATGGTAGATGCCTGATGTATGCACTGGACCCAACTCTTCGTGTTGATCTTCTTGGATTGAGTCTAAGTTGCCACTCAGTTGTATGCTGCCGAGTTTCTCCGCTGCAGAAGGCACAGGTAAATAACATTTCTTGAAGTACGACTTTCCTCTTACCCACTGAAGAATTAACAATATGGCATTTTGTCGGGAACAAACCCACACACAGAGGCCAGAAACGGAATGAATGTTCTTTTACTAGACACAGAGGCCAGAAACGGAATGAATGTTCTTTTACTAGACTAGATATATTACTATTCAATATACACTATACAATGGATGCTTTAACTACTTTGGTTGGTCTTTACTCTTTAGCATACTGTGTACACTCATGTACTTCTGAGTTCTGAGTTGCATTTTCTGATGTGTGATTGTTCTGTTATCAGCTGTTGTTATCCTTATCGAGGGTCTTTAGTTTGAGGTATCAGCTAATCTTGTATAGGGTGGTGCACCATGGTTCTGTTGTGATACCAGTCCTCATGTTCTTACTGGATATGTGCATACTTGGGATGAGGTGTTGATTGGCTAGGCCATCCCATTCCTCAAACCAAACCAGTAGGAAGAGAGGACTGGCGGGTCCATTCTCAAAGCAAACGTGGCAATAGTCTCTGATTGATTGTATGGTTTCATTGCACAATCTAGTTATGTTGAGTTACGTGAAAATTTAAAATGCTGACATTTAATGTGTATATGTAGGTTACAAGCTTAGTTAGGAAGGGTGCTCAGAAAATAACTCTCAGCATTGGCGACGGTGCTAATGATGTGAGTATGATTCAAGCTGCTCATGTTGGGATTGGCATCAGTGGCCAAGAAGGAATGCAAGCTGTTATGGCTAGTGACTTTGCCATTGCACAGTTTCGTTTTCTTACTGATTTGCTTCTTGTACATGGACGGTGGTCTTACTTGAGACTGTGTAAGGTATGGCTATAATTGCTCACCTTTAACTCTTCATATATTTCAAGTACTGAGTATGAGATGTTCTGTTGCAGGTTATCACATACTTCTTCTACAAGAATCTGACATTTACACTAACTCAGTTCTGGTTCACTTTCCAAACTGGCTTTTCTGGTCAGCGGTTTTATGATGACTGGTTTCAGTCTCTATATAATGTTATTTTCACGGCACTACCTGTAATTATAGTTGGATTGTTTGATAAGGTATGATTATACTTACTTGTTTATGGAGTTATGTCTCCTGCATCGCACTAAACTGACTCCTTTCAGGATGTTAGTGCGTCACTGTCAAAAAAATACCCACAGCTTTACAAGGAGGGAATCAGGAATTCATTCTTCACGTGGAGAGTGATTGCTGTGTGGGGTTTCTTTGCCTTCTATCAGTCAATAGTGTTCTTCTACTTCACTGCAGCTGCAAGTCGGCATGGTCACGGTTCATCTGGCAAGATTCTTGGCCTATGGGATGTTAGCACTATGGCCTTTACTTGTGTCGTGGTGACTGTGAATCTCCGCCTTCTCATGGCATGCAATTCTATAACAAGGTGGCATTACATAAGTGTGGCGGGCAGTATAGTGGCCTGGTTTATGTTTATTTTCATATACTCTGCAATAATGACGTCATTTGACAGACAGGTAAACTTGTTTACTGATCTGATCTGAATAATCTATTATTCCTGTGGTGGCTTTCTTGCTTCCTAACATGATTTATTGCTTTTGCAGGAAAATGTGTATTTTGTGATTTATGTTCTAATGAGCACCTTTTTCTTCTATCTGACTATCTTGCTTGTTCCGATCATCGCCCTGTTTGGTGATTTCCTATATTTATCGTAAGATACCTGATTCCTGTGAAATTATGACAAGTTCAGCTTTTTACTTGACCATGTCAACCATCTCTGATCCTGTGTTGTTGTCAGGATTCAAAGGTGGCTATTCCCCTACGACTACCAAATAATCCAGGAGCAGCACAAGGACGAGCCCCATGAATACAGCAGGGTGCAGCTACCAGAGACCAGCCACTTAAGCCCAGAGGAAGCGAGAAGCTACATGATCTCGATGCTCCCTCGGGAGTCATCAAGGCACACTGGCTTTGCCTTTGACTCCCCAGGATACGAGTCGTTCTTCGCCTCGCAGCAAGGCGTCGGCGTGCCACACAAGCCCTGGGATGTAGCCCGGAGAGCGAGCATGAAGCAGCAACGAGCAGGAAAATCCTAATCGCCCGAAAACCTCTCCGCTGTGTAAAATTTTGTATATCTGGTTTCTTGATCGCAGTCGCAGACCACAGGAGTTTGTATAGGTAGCCCTGTAGCCCTTTTTCGTGTTTGTCTGTGGTTCGCCCATATGTTGTTTTGGGATGAAAAGTAGGCATCGGTGTTAAAGAATAGGGATACTTGGTAGATAAACCAAGGTGGAATTGGAAATGCAGTTAGGAAAGCTTTTTCTGGCGTTCATTGCATGGTGCATACTGCTTTTCAACTTTTCGAGTTGATTGGTCAGCGCATGCAACTTAAAACATGTTATTATTGGAGGCCTGTGCATTGATGATAGCCCATTTTATTCTAATATAAGAACTTCACGTCCTACTCCCATTCCTTGTCTAGAGCAGCTTTTGACCTTTTGTTCGGTTGGTCGCGAGGTTTGGCAACTATCCTCCCCCGAGTATTTGGGAGATTGCCTTGTGTATACGGTGCTACCTTACTGACGAAAGTATCAGTGCCTGGACTCTTGGTTCGGTGCAAGTGTGCAACGAAATCTACGAGTCTAGTACATAGTACATTAGTACCATGTACTGTATGCCTTACAACAGAATGCATGTCCCTCATCAGACCTGTCTGGGTGTTTGGCACGCCACGTATCATTGCGAAAGTTACGCAGGGTGCAGCCTAGGACTAGGAACAACCTATACTCTTATTGCAAGTTAGCCAATTATTATTGTTACCTCAAAGTCCGAAGGCTAGGCATGTTCGCTTTACTGAAAAGTTATGGCTAAAAGTACTGTTTGCTGATTTGTTGTGAAACAAAAATACTGTTCGTTCATCGAAATAGTAGGGCTTATAAGACAGACAAACATCACAATGACTGAATAAATAATACAAGAAAAGATAATCACAGACATTCCCATATAACCCTGCTGCCGTACTGTAGTAGCAGCGGCAGTAAAAGCTTCAATATTTCCTCGCCGGCTGCACGTCCGGCGACACGGCAGCCCAGAACTCGTCGTCCTGCTCCAGCGCTACCATGTGCTCCGGCGTCAGCACCACCTCCGCGTCGATGCTGCCTCCGCCCTCCCGCCCCGGGAACAACGACACCTTCCCGTCGTACTTGTTGGCCTTGCCACCCCGCACCGCCAGCGCCTCCCCCCACCCGAAGTCGCAGCCGTACATGTCGAACCGGGGCGAGCTGCTGATAAACATTGCGTTCGGGTCGAACAGCCTGAACGCCGACAGCCCCGGCTTCGCCGCCCAGGCTGCCGCTAGCGCTCGGATGCCCGCGTCCGTGTGCGCCGCCACCGCGCGTCCCACAGCGGCCGCCGCCCACCCGTGCCCGCGCGCCAGCAGCTCCGACGCGCGCACCGCCTCCGTCGAGACGGCGTTGATGGCGTTCCCTAAGTACTCCGCCGGCAGCGGCGGCCGGAGCCGCCCGCGGTTGTTGGCGGACGCGCGGAACACCACCTCCTGCTCCGGCGCCGTGCGCCGCGCGCGGACGAAGCACCTCCATAGCAGCGAGCTCAGCGCCTGGAAACTTGTCACGGCGGCCGCCCCGGCCGTGTCCCCGGCTGCCAGGAGCTCCTGCCGTGCACGCTCCTTGAGCGCCGCCAGAGACTCCGCCGAGAAGTGCAGCATCCGGTCCCTCTGCGGCGGCGGCGGCATCGTCGGCCTCGCGATGAGCCCCTCCAGGTCGGCGTAAGGGAGCACGACCGGCGCCGCCGCCGCGCCACTACCGTCGGGCGACCAGCGCTCGAAAAGGGGCGGCGTGCGGGACGCGAACACGCGGGGGCCGCCCGGGGACGGCAACAGCCTGACCCGCGCGATCTCCGCCCACGCGTTGATGAAGTTCCAGAAGGCCGTGCCGTCGGAGAGCGCGTGGTTGTACACGAACCCGACGAAGACGCCGTCGGCGAGCTCGGTGACCTGGACGACGAAGAGCGGGCGCTCGTGGCCGTCGTAGTTGACGGCCTCGTTGAGCGGGAAGAAGGATCGGACGACGCTCGGGACATCGGCGTCGGGAGGGACGACGTCGGCGACCGCGACGCCGTCCGCGATAGCCTCGAGGACCTCGACACCCTGGCCGGCGCAGTCGACGGAGACGGAGCAGCCGACGACGTGGCCCTCGTCGTCATGGTGCTGGTCGATGGCGAGGCGGCCGGCGACGGGGTAGTAGGTGGCGATCGCATCGGCGAGGGCGGCCTGGAGGTGGTCGACGAGGTGGGTGAAGGTGGAGAAGCAGGGCGGCGGTGCGAAGAGCAGGCCCTTCTGGATGTAGTCGGCGGAGAGCAACGAGAGGTCCCAGGTGGTGAGCGGGATGCGCTCGCGTGGCCGAGGCGGCGGCTTCACGGTGCGCCTCGACACCACTTGCACCGGTGACTGCTGCATTCTCGATCTCGGAGGTTGCACGACTAGTGGATTGCAGTTGCAGGTGGAGTCGAGTACTCGATGAGCTGCTTCTTGCTGATTCGTTTTCTTCGGTGGCGCAACAAGTAACATCCATGGAGTCATATATATAGCAACAGCATATTATGTCATACAAAATGCAGGATCATGCACGCATCGTCAGCCTGGCGGCTCTGCCAAGTGCCAACCCCTATCATGCTTAGGCGATTATGTATTATATATTACATACAGTATATAAAGAGCGAAGATGCTGGCCTCAAGCTCCGGTCGTCTGTTAATCCACAACTGTGGTTCCTGCAGGTCGCCATGGAATGTTCATGGAAATTGCCGTGCCCAATGGCTAGTGTCCTTCGGTAAACCTAGTATTTCTTTTAAGAAAGACACAGGAGGTCTTCAATTCAGATTGGATTTCATTAAAAAAATATGTTATGACCAGATTTGCTTGGTACTCTAGAATAGTCATACATTGGTTGCATTACGCAGAATTCGTCACCCTTCGTCACTACCTCGTCCATAAGAAACCTGACACGCGGCTCTTGAAGTGGCAATAATCTCCCCCCCCAACGGAAAAGGTGTCGCATGGGTTTTATGTTGGTGATTTTTTTAAAGTTTAACTAAGTTTATAAAAAATATTAGCAACATCTGTATCTCCAAATTTATTATAAATGTATATTTAACGACTAATCTAATCATATCGATTATGCGCCATAAATATTAATATTCTCTCGTATATAGTTTGTCAAGGTTGAAAATGTTTGATTTATCAAGAAACGAGAATAACATTCTTTGTGGGATGGAAGGAGTACAACGACAACTCACTAGTGGGTATTTGCCATAGTAGAACAGCAAATGTAAATTTCAACTCACACTAATTAAAACAACTCCCTCTAATTATAGGCCCCTTTTGACTTTTTCGGTACATCGAATTTGCTATGTATCTAAAAAAATGTCAAAAACGACTTATAATTTAGAACAGATGGAGTATCATATGGAGGCATGTAATGAATAGAAAACGAGAATCACATGAACCTCACCAAAATCAGTCATGTTATCTCCCGTGAATGAGTGCATAGGGCTCATTACATAAACCCAAAATAATCATTGTTGGGAGGTTGCATATGGCAGAAGTTTGACTTGTTTACATCAAGATCTCCCGTAAACCATAAAGGTCTATGTATATTTGATTTTCTTATGGGGTACTTCGCAAAGGTCTTATATGATATTTTGAAGAGTGAATATAACCAGATTGAAGAATGCCTATAGGACCATATCAGTAAAAAAGAGTGATTGTGTTTAATTGCTTGCTTATGACATCTATGAGGGGTTGAATATGTGGCTGAACCGACCAATTTATAAGAGCACAAGTACAATGGCAACCACCAAAGCGATCGCACTGTCATACTTGAGCCCATATAAACCCGGTAGTCCGTCGAGTATCACGAAAGATCTCTAATAACCCAACACACAACCAAGATCGTACATGATTCAACATACAAGCCACATGTTACATAGAGTTCACAAATATATTGCCATACATCAGAGTACGATTAAAGTTATTACAACTCGATCAAGTTCAGTGAAGTAGTAGCGGAAGCAATATAGTTTTAAAACCATCATTACACACACTTGTTCAATTACATGCCAGTTTGTGATCAAGTCCAACAAAAGCATCCTAGATGAGATCACATAGAATAGCCTTGCCCACGGCCTTACTCCTCGTCCATGGCTGGAGAGAAGCAATTCTTGTAGTATCCGTGGTATACAGTACTATCTGCAACAGATGGGAAATAAATCATAAGTACGAGAAGGTACTCAGCTAGACTTACCCGTCATAAACCAAAAATAAAATGACACCAAGGATCATGCAAGGCTTTATAAGTGGAGTAGATCTAACAACATTTTACGTAAAAGCGGAAGTAATATATATATTTCAATCTGACCAGTTATTCTAGCAACAAGTTATACATATTAAATTTAAGCATGTCTTGGTTGGCACCTGTACTAGAGCAATCACTTGATTTAAGATGAAGCAAACAATAGTAACCATATCTGGTATAATATTTGCATGTTGCTCATAATCATTACATTCCATCAAGTTACTATGATGGAGGGGATCCGCCAAGTTTCTCACTATCCGGGAGAGACGGCGATTCGAATAGATTGCAACTAGCTGGGTAGTTATTCCTAACACAAACCCAGGCATACCTGCGCCAAGGTAGCCTTAGGTCACCATTGGTACAACTCAGGTACACATTGCGCGGGTTCGATCAGCGCCGCACCCTCAGGGACAATACCGGATGCCAGGTCGATCAGGACTCTAACCTGCCCTTGGCCTCACACCGGCTCCCCGCACATTCTTACTACCTCCAGTGTGCGCACTCTAACAGAACGAAGCCCGGCCTGAGTTGAGCTACTCGGCTTCGCGATCGGAATGAGTTAACCGGCCAGCTAAGTAAGAGGCATGCGTTCAAAATGACAAGAGGGCCTCCAACGATGCGGTCCTTAATCGGCCCAGATAGAATCACATGAGTTAACCTACACATAGACTCTCCCTGGCCTCCAGTTACATTATCCCATGGTTCTTTTTCATGATAGCAAATATAGCCAACCGCGCTCCGGTATCCACCTATATCTCGCAGGTGACAAGAAATCACCCGACTTCTACCGAGCTAACCATGGCTAAGCATATATTCGATTCTGGACGTACACAGGGTTCAAGATATATGTTTGGACAAGGAAATTATATGCATCAAGAGTTTTCAATCAACTCCTATAACCTAATGCATGAAACATAAAAGGACTCAAGGTGATATTTGTAAAACATAGGAGGCTTAGAATGCTCGGGGCTTGCCTTTCAGGAAAGAGGTGGTCTTGTGGTCAAGGCACTCTGGTAGTTCTTCTGGAGCTTGCTCCTCACTTTTAGGAGCTATTTGTTGTGGTGCCTCCTGATTCTCCTCCTCTTCGGTCTCGAGTTCCAAGAGGGTGATTCTTTCGGGCGATCTATATGCATGAGCACGAAATAAGGTATCATGGATGCATATGTAATGACATGGATGATATGATATGATAAAACGCGTAATCATAATGTCTTGGACATCAAGGCATGAGGTGATAACAAGATTAACTTTCTTTTACTAAGTAGGTGCATATCTCCTCTCTAATAATTAAACAAACACCATTTTAGAATATTTTCTGGATTGCAAGACAACAATCACTTGTTTTGACCATAAATAGAGTTTTACCCACCCAAACAATGTGATTGTGAACTTTCTAGAAAGCTTATAAAATTGTCTACAACTTTCTTATAATCATCTCGAAGTTGTCACCACAACAGGAACTACTCATGCAGCCATCTAGTTGAATTATAAAGCAATAATTAAGTAGCTGCCTATAGCCAATTAACTTTAGGCACAACTACCAATATCAACAAATCATATGCATCACATGCACCACAAAAAACATCATGGCTAAGCACAATAATTTACTATATGCGTTTATTAATTTCCTTATATAATAGGGTGATTTATAAGATAAATATTTCCATTTCACAATAAATCCTAAGAAAATTACAGTAGCCTACATATAACTCCAATAGTCTAATGTACAAATTTCATGCCATTTGGATAAGTATAGCAACCCCTACAAAAATGACAAGTTGCATAGACTTATTTTAGCAAAAATAGCTTAGCCTAGTAAAAAGTGTCAAACAACAAATTTCATTTTTTTTACTTTTATCCTAGCATAAGAATACTGTGTAAAAATTTTCATGATCATAAGTTATGTATATTTACCCCTATTAATTTCACTAGAAACTAGCAATTAATCAAGGTTAAATAGAAAAACCATATTGCAAGTATGCCTACTATAGCTAGAGCATGTCAACACAAGCCCAACAAAATTGGAATCACATTTTTAGCACTTCCCTAGCTCAAGTTATGCATTTTACAAGATAGAAACTATTTTAAAAGCACTTAACTAGCTTTATTGAATTCCTCCAGAAAAGTATTCTAAATAGTAGATTTTACATTTTTATCAAATAGTACACTTCCGGATGAATCCAACAAAAATTGGTTCACTCAATTTGGACACTCCTAACTCTCGATATGAATTTTTGAAGTTTGAATCAATTTTTGAAAAAGAATAAAGAAAAACATTTAAACCTAAGTCGCTACACGCACCCGGTTCACTACACCCGCTGTGACAGACTGCTGGGCCCCGCAGGTCAACGGGCCCCACTTGATAGGCACACAAAGTAGGGCACGATGGTTGACCGGCCACAACTCGTCGATGGCGAGGTCACTGGCGGTGAGGTCACCACCGTCGTGTTCTCCATCTCCGTGCGCATCTACTGGTGCCCTTGATTGGCTCGACGGATCACCGGAGCTACCTCGTCGGTGACTATGGTTGCTCGGCAGAGGTGCTTGGCGGCGCACTCGTCGTCTCCGACGATGACACAGCCAGGCAAGCGGGGCTACCGCGTCAGGAGGTCCTAGCGGAGCTCTAGGGCTAGGTTTGAGCTATGGTGAAGCGGCAGTGAGTTCTGGCCACGGGCATGGCGGCACGGCGGCGCGAGCGCGGCGACGGTGAAGTCATAGTTCCAACGAGGTGGCGGTCGGTGACGGGTCTTCGTCATGGGACAAGCTGCTAGGGTTCATGGCGGCGCTGAAACACGCACTAGAGGAGGATGACAGGGTCTAGTTGGTGCCGGCCGCGGCGTGCTTGAGCTCACGGCCATGGCGGACGCGCACGGCGCGGACCTGCGTTCCCGCACGGTTGCGGCGGTAGCGGTAAAATGTGCTGTGGTTGTAGCATCTAGGACCTACGGTGACAACGGACCAAATGAGAGAAAGGTAGGAGGAGCAGTGAAGATGGCTGGCCATGGGAGAGCTCGAAGCTTGGTGGCGCAACGCGGCCATGGCGGCGATGGCGATGCGCAATGTGGTCTCACCTGGGCTTGAACGCTACAATGGCGGGTCAGGAAG